CGAAACAAGCGCGTCACGCAGTACGTGAGTGGCTAGATTGTAGATTGTTTTATTATAATATTATTTAATTATGTTATTTTGTTGTTATGTCGTGTAAGTTTGTGGAGTAGTAGCAAGAAGGTATCGTATACATTTAAATTTGTTCTCTTGATTATTTATTAATGATTTTATGTAGGGTCGGCACCAATGTTATTATGGTCTTACCACCGTGTTTTGGTTCAGCCGAAATAAATTTTACGTTGATGTTTTTACAATTTGTTTCTCACTCCAGCTGAGTCTGGTAGTGTTGAGTATCATGAATATTTTTCTAGCTCTCTTTTTCCATGTTTTTGCTTCACAGGAGATATTGTGGTCTTTTTATTGAATATAACTGTAATACATTGATGTAAAGTTTATTTGAATTTTGAAATAAAAAAAATCATCAATCATCATACCTGCTGTCATCAGACCTATTCTATCATATACACTTATGCATACTGCTGTAGTATATAATACATAATATTATTAGTTAACTTGTGTTAATACTTTTTTACTATACTACACGTAATCAAACAATAAACCCTGTTTACAATGAGATAACATCACGTTATCGAATCACGTGTTTTGATAACAAAGCTAGAGACTAAGGGATATGGAGCACACTCAACACTGCATGCTTTTCATGTGTTTTATAGACTGACCATGAGTTCTGTTAACACAAATTGTACTACTAGTCTTAACTATAATTCTAAAGATTATCTTTTGTGGGGACCGAGGGCTCATCGTCCGAGTATAAATGATAAAGCAGACACTACTCATCACTATGTTCGTAGAAATATTTCCTTTACCCTCATGTCTCATGAGTTGTAGCGCGATGCACTACTGGGCCGCGCCGCGCATCTTCTCGCAACCACCGTATGCAGATCGGGGAGATGCGAAGGATCTCAAAAACATATTATTATATGCATTAAAAGTATATTGTAATTGTATAATATTCGGGAAAATTAACAAAAGAGGCGCCAGTACCAAGGAGTAAATACATGTACAATGTTATTGATTCACGATGTCAATCCTTCGCATCTCGCCGATCTGCAGAAGGTTGTGGTTGCGAGAAGCTTTATTGGATGCGCGCGCGACCCAGTAATGCATCGCACTACAAACAATGTTACTACACGTTATTTGTTTACATACCTCGGCCCCCGAAACCGATAGCCAAGTCATTTGCTGATGATGTCCACTTAGACATTTTCTTCTTTTCTTTTAATTTTATCCGTTATATCTCCTGGTTTACCCAGGACCTGGATTGCGGAAAGGGTTTTAATGTATGTTTATAACCTACCGGGACGCGCGCGCCGAGATGCAGGACTCGTACGTTGAAAAATATTTGACATACGTTGCATCATGCATGCCACTTTTCGCGCGCAAATACGTAACACTAACAATAACATGTATCATGATCAAACAAATATTTTACGAGTATCACTGTACTCGTTAACTGAAAGGTGCTTACAGCTTAGCCTGTCCACTTGACAGATGTTACTCGTCTAAATTTCTTCGAAGTAGCGCGCGCCGCTTTCTTCTGTAATGGCCCGACGGCAAGTGCTACGAAGTAGCGCGCGCCGGGCCAAATCATTAACAATGGTCAACCTGTCCACTTGCCACTGTCATTGAGTGTCATTCAATCATATTTTCAATCGGTGTGGCTTATTTTTATGAACACCCTTCACTGGGCGCGCTCACTAAATCGCTCGCCCTGCATTTCAGTGTAAACTTTTACAGATGTGGAGGTAAATAATAATTCCAAAGAAGTGAACGAGGAAGTCAAAGATCAAAAAATGATCATGCCATAAAAATGATCATACTTATAGTTATGGCATGATAAATTGTATAATAACTCGTTTTCATTGATCCAATGATAATGATATAGTTCAGTCCTTCACGGGTGATACTCGTAAAATATCTGTTCCATATATTGGACCGACGACGAGTCCAACTCGGCGCGCGTCTTGGTAGGTTGTAAACCTACAATTCAGTCCGAATCCGATGATAGAAATTACAATTAACTGAAATTTAAAAGTTGTCGTATCCTAAACATGAGTTCGCAATAGAATACATATGGAAAAAATCTCAAACGGACGGACTTTATTTAAACGGACATTAATTGTATCACGTGGTGACCCTCATCGTCGCTTCACTACCCCTGTAGAGTTTCGACGATACAGGGGGAGCCGCGCACTCGTGCGCGGCGGGTCATAAAACGTATGACAAGACATTAATATGAACGCTATTGCTACACGTTGTATACCTCTCGTGCACGCGAAGCGTGCACGCCGGCCGGCCGAGAGAGCGGCCGGCCGCGCGCGCTTCGCGCGCGATCAAAAGGGGTTGCATGCAGCGTGTGTCAAGAACGCTAGGACCTCCAGCGTTCAAGTCCGTTCAAATAAGGTCCGATAAGGTTATAGTTCTATATTGAGCAGCTCAGATTTCCACGAATGTATTTGCCAGTCACTTTTGGAAATACATTTGCTATTTAAAGAATTATGAAATACACTATTTAAGACAACTAAAAGTTTGCAATTTTGCCTTAAAAGTACGTTAAGTGCGTGGTGCTTTAAAAGTATGTTATGTGCGTACTAACCAACTATGGTTTTTCTGCTGCCCTAGTTTTAGAAGTAGTAAGGTAGTAGCCTCTACGTTTTAGAAATGTTAAATATATAAATGAAATATGTCAACAGTCAAATGATATTAATTTTAACGTGTAAATGATGGTCTCATCTAACGCCCAAGCCACCGGTCATCTTGATACAGGAGGTAGCTAGAGGGAGGGAGCTGATACAATTAGAGTCCTTGCTCGACAGTGCAGTTAGTTTTTCTACTGCTTCAAGAAGCTCTACAATAAGGACACTGTAAAGTAGGGCTGATGTTATATAAGTATATAGCACCACACATAACATATTAAAGTGTTCTGAAGATGCAGTAGTGCACTTCATAGCCAGGCAGCTTGATGTCAGGCCATATAACTAGCGTGAAACTGTCAACTGTGCGTTGTAGTAATTTTAGTACAAAGTAGTATAAGTATAATAGTAGTAGTAGTTGTATCAGTAATATGGTCTATGTAATAATATACTAATATACTAATATACTAATATAATATACTAATAGTTTATTTAATTTGATTTACCGATTTAATCATTTGTTTTGCTTCGTTCTATTGAAGTCCAAAACTTTAAGTTAGTTTAAATTTGATAGTCATTGAACCTTTTTAGTTTCAAATTTCAATAGTGGGCTTTCATTCTTTCAGTTTGTCTTGTACCAAATATCATTAAGTTAACATTACAGTTACTGTAAGGCTATGATTGTAAGCCTGAAGGAGGTTCTGATCTCCTTGTCCACTGTATTCCTACTACTACACAGCATTGAAGGAGGTTCACCACGGCGTTATAACGCACTTTGGTTCTGGCACAGCCCCCACGAGTTTGTGTACTACCAGGACCCTGACATGTCCCCCTTCATTACACAGTTTACTGTGTGTGCCTGGATAAAGAAGTTACAGAACCATCTAGATCTCCCAACTTGGTTCTCTTACTATCTGAGGAGCTCCCCTTATGAGATTACAATGACAGACGAAGGTAAGCAAACCAGAACTTTCAACTACAACGCAGATGTACGGAGCGAGTATAATGTACCCCCGGGAACCTGGTTCCACACATGTGTGGCCTGGAGTAACGCTACAGAGAATAGAGAGGTGTATGTGAATGGTGAACTGGTGAATACTCTGCCCACTTCTCCTGGGAGGGTGTTGAAGCAGGGAGGAGCTATAGTTCTGGGTTCAATGCAGAAATTCTGGACATCACCTCAACTGAGAACGCAAACGATAATGTTTGGAGGGGAGATCTACAAACTCAATATGTTCAGCACTAAGTTGAAACATAGCGTTATCCAGGAAATGGCAAGGGACAGGTGCTCAGATTTAGAGGAAACATACGCTGAACTTATAGGAATCAGGTGGGAGGACTTTCTGTTGCAATCAAGGTTTGGGAATATTGTAGAGTACAAGACAGACTGCGGTTATATAAAGGAACTGAATAGCACTGGAGAGGAATTGGCTGGGACTAAGCTGGAAAAAGGAAACTGCCGATATAACTTGGAAATTAAAGAACAGAAACTCAATAGTACCGTGCTACAACTGGAGCGATCGAAATCAGATCTGAATAGCACGGCGAACAAACTGAATAGCACTGAAAAAGAGCTGCTCGAAAAAGAGACAAGACTCAAAGAAACTGCAGTCGAACTGAAGAGTACCGATGTTGAACTACAGAATGTCTCCGCAACTCTGAATCACACCCAATTTCTTTTAAAGGAGGCTACTTCTTCTGCCTCTTCCTCTTTCAGTTCTACTCTCACTTTGACGGCTGCTGTTACGATATTAACAGTAGGTGGTTACTGTTTCCATAGCAACACTGCTATGTAATAAGGTAATAGGCTAACAAGCCCTCTCAGTAAGGTTAGTTTTATGATCTAGCTTAGTAAAACTAATACTATAGCTAGTAAATACGTGTATTGTATTGCGAAATACTTTTCGTCACCGTGTTCAATTTTACCAAATTGTTGATATTTCAGAGAATTTAATGCTGTGAACGAAATATTTCCTGGAGACTTCATCTATCCAGATATCAGTACTTCATCGCTGTTAAACAAAGATACTCTCACCACCCAGTCACAACCAATTAGAGTAATTACCAACTAATTAGAGTAATTACCAACCAATTAGAGTAATTACCAACCAATTAGAGTAATTACCGACCAATTAGACTATTATAGTAATTCCGAGAGTACCAATTATAGGACACGAAACAAAATGAACAGTGATGTCTGCAGTTGCTGCTGCTGCCTGCTCAATATGTTGAAAACATGTTGTTTTAAATGGTAATCAATGCATGAAATCGGTTATTGGGAAATGATGTTACTTCTGTCGCATTATGTGACATTTTGGGTGAATTTTCGAAATCGAAAAACAATAAAAATGCGAATTTTTGATGTAAAACGAAATTTTGCTAAATATCATACTGTAATCAATAGTGTTAGTGTTACGAAAGCACCTTCAAATGTAACTGGAGGATACAAACTTTATGTATGTACAATTAATTCTTAATTAATTAATTCTTCGTATCAATATTCTCAGTAAATTAACGACAGATCTACAAATTAGTGAAAATTGGCAACACAATAAACACAAATCATCCGTAATTATATTTACAAATAAACGAACAACTAAAAGTAAGTAAATACTAAATTATCTTTTAAACAATGGTAAACGAAAGATATGATCACAATTTTAATTAATCACGATCAAATTGAAGGGATATGTTTTAAAATTACGCTATGAGAATAACCGTTCACAATATAATTAAACCCAACTAGTAACCTATAGTTAACAACTATACATACAAATTTAGGAAACTTATCAAAAAAAACATTATTATCACCAAAGAACCCAATATTGATAACCCATCTCGCATTTAGTAATTATTGATTATTAATTACTGCTAATTATTAATTACCGCTAATTATTAATTACTGCAACTCTTTACGCTTGTTTAATAAATTGAGGACGCTTCTCCAAACTTCCAAATACAGAGGCCCCCCGGAAAAAATTTGAGAAATAGGGTGTTTTAGACGACATTTGGCATATTAATTAAAGAAATTTGTAGGACAGCAATAAACTAAATTAAGCACTAAGCAAATGCCAAAATGTCTTACCAGTCCCTACCGAACTCAGTACTTACCACATTGAATGGAATAAGTACATGTAATTGTATAGTGGGATTTGGGAATAATTTACGAAATGCTGAAGTCAATTGCCTGCCGTTTAAACAGTACAGACTGCAGTCATAAACACAGCACAGTTACCAGGCGACCATGGGGACTAGGGGGCTTTTTTTTTCTGGGGTTCAATTTTTCCCCAGGCCCTCTGCCCCCCCTGGCTACGTGCCTGACTACACCACCCCCCCCCCCCCACTATACTACAGCTCAACCCCAATCACGCTCAATTAATTAATTTAGCGTGGAATACAAAGAGAGACATCCTCTACTCTTACTACAGTACTACAGTACTACTGTACTAATATTATAATATGCTAGAATGTTCTATATATCGTGGCATAAGTTTTAGTTTGGTCACTGCGAAAGTGGGGGTGTAACCATGGTAACAGAGTAGTGTTGTACTCTTGTGGTAATGTAACCATGGTAACAGGGGTGTTGTACTCCAGAGGGGGTGTAACCATGGTAACAGTGTAGTGTTCTGTGTTGTACTCTAGTGGGGGGGGGGGGGGGGGGGGTGTAACCATGGTAACAGGGGTGTTGTACTCATTAACCTTTCAGCCACTTCTGGTCGTCAGATCGGGGTTTGTGCGCTGAAATTGTGGTCAGTTAACACAGTTAACACAGTTAACACAGTAAGCTAATTTAACACACTTGACACAGTACGTCAGTACAGTTAGCTAATGTCCACAAGTTGAGACCTCACGTTAATGCAGATTAAATAACAGGATGTAAAATAAAGACTTTCTAATGTGTATTGGTAAGTTGTGGCTGACAGTAACCATGGTAACTATGGTAACTATGGTGGTTCTCATTAGAACTGCGAAAATGTCACAAGTGCATACTGCATATGAAATTACCTGACTTGGTTATGAATTTATTACCTGTTAAAGCCTCGATTATAAATTCGAGAGTCTGGAAAAACTGAATCTTCTCCAACGGATAGTTCAACCACCTGCAAGACAATAATTATTTATTGGTTAGATACACTTAGTTTGTTTTATAAAGACGCAAGTTATAAAGACAAAGCCTTCAAATGAACAAAATTAAAGACGGCAAGGCTTCAAAATTGAAAAATTAAAGACGCCACAACAACTACAAGTCTCGAAATAGATCGGATGTAATAAAGCACATTTAACACACTGACATTACTTCTACCAGCAAATTCAAAGACGGGTTGCGATGAATTAAAGACAGTGAAGCCTTTAAAATGGTTAAAATTAAAGACGCTGAAGCCTTCGCCAAAGTTAGCCGACTTTGTATAACGAACTATTGTTAGATATGGTACCGCGACAATTGACCCCCCGACAATTGACCCCCCGACAATTGACCCCTATGTAATTACACTGGGGTCAATTGTCGCGAAATCTAGGGTTTAGTACGAAAATTGACCCCCCGACAATTGACCCCCCGACAATTGACCCCTATGTAATTACACTGGGGTCAATTGTCGCGAAATCTAGGGTTTAGTACGAAAATTGACCCCCCGACAATTGACCCCCCGACAATTGACCCCTATGTAATTACACTGGGGTCAATTGTCGCGAAATCTAGGGTTTAGTACGAAAATTGACCCCCCGACAATTGACCCCCCGACAATTGACCCCTATGTAATTACACTGGGGTCAATTGTCGCGAAATCTAGGGTTTAGTACGAAAATTGACCCCCCGACAATTGACCCCCCGACAATTGACCCCTATGTAATTACACTGGGGTCAATTGTCGCGAAATCTAGGGTTTAGTACGAAAATTGACCCCCGACAATTGACCCCCCGACAATTGACCCCTATGTAATTACACTGGGGTCAATTGTCGCGAAATCTAGGGTTTAGTACGAAAATTGACCCCCCGACAATTGACCCCCCGACAATTGACCCCTATGTAATTACACTGGGGTCAATTGTCGCGAAATCTAGGGTTTAGTACGAAAATTGACCCCCCGACAATTGACCCCCCGACAATTGACCCCTATGTAATTACACTGGGGTCAATTGTCGCGAAATCTAGGGTTTAGTACGAAAATTGACCCCCCGACAATTGACCCCCCGACAATTGACCCCTATGTAATTACACTGGGGTCAATTGTCGCCCACCCGTTTTTTATTAAATACTTTTCAAATTTTACAGAGTACAGCAATAGATGAATATAAAATAGAATCGTTCAAAATATCGCCCCCATCTGTAAAATATGATGGGCACCCAAACACGGTAAACACATAGTGAACTATGTCCGCAGTAACTTGGACCCATTACATCGAATTAATCTAAATCCAAAAATTTATGAAAAACTATTTAATAACAAACAAATCCATGGTGAATAACTGTGGATAAAGAGTCAAAATTGGTATTTCAATACGTCAAATTCCAGATACATTAGATACAGGTCTGAAACGGTCATTAATGTGTGAGAAGGTGTGCGGGTGAAGTGTGATATGATGTTGAAAGTATAGGAAGGTAGATAAAAAAAATTAATAAAACAAAAATAATAATAATATGGGGAGCAAAGAGACTAGGCTAGACTGTTGTTTCACTGTCCAATAAACATTTCCAGAGATGCTTAGTGACCTCAGCTTTGAAAAGACTAGTAGACACAATCTGTCTTACCTGTAAAGGGAGTCCATTCCACAGTATATGGGTTCTGTAGAAAAATGATTTTGCCAGTGGGCTATTTGAGGTACATGTGGTGTGTGAATTCTGACTTAACTTAGGTAAAATTGATGACACAATAGACAGACTGTCGAGGTGGCAACGTCTTAGTCGAGAAGTGCCCTGATATAAAGAGAGATAGTGAGGCAGCGATACAGGAATTAAATTGTTAAGAACTTTGTGGAAAAAAATAAGATCATTCAAGTCAAACTTTTGAGACAAAGGGAGAATGTCGACAAGCTTGCACTTTTTGACATATTGCTCAGGTGGATAACTGCGGCCCTCTTCAGACAGAATCCATTTAATAGCTCTCTTTTGGAGACTTTCTAATTTATCACTAAGTGATTTATTACAAGGGCGCCAGATTATGGAACAATTTTCGAATTGGCTACGAACCAGGGAGAGGTAAAGCGCCCGGCGACGTTTCTGATCAATGACAATATGGCCATCTCTTCTGACCATACCAAGTTGTTGGCAGGCCTTAGTATAAATTCTGTCGCACTGACTATTCCAACTAAGCTTAGGAGTAACATCGACTCCAAGATCTTTTTCTAACTCTACATACACAAGAGGAGAGCCATCAAGATTATATGCGAATGGAGGAGATAAAGATGGTTTTCCTGAAACAATAAGCACTTTACATTTTGCTGGATGGAATCGCATTTTGTTTCTTAGTGCCCAGTCAGAGAGATAGTCTATATCCATTTGTAAATTAGTATTATCAGAAGATGAATGTATTTTACGCCAGATTTTTGTATCATCGGCATACAAAACAATATCAGTATTATCCGAAAGGCCAAGAGGAATATCATTGATAAACAATACAAAAAGTAAGGGACCAAGAATAGAGCCCTGGGGGACACCAGAATTAACTGAGAGGGTAGATGACATCTCATTACCAATAACCACTCTTTGGTAACGGCCTTGAAGGTAATTGGTAAGAAATTTGAGAAGTGTACCATCAATGTTATATAAGGTCTTTAGCTTATGAAGAAGGATATCATGATTTACAGAATCAAATGCCTTAGCAAAATCAAAATACACAACATGATTGATGATGTTTTCGTTAAGAGACAATGCCAGGCTATCACAAAAGTCAACCATATTGGTTGTGCATGACTTGTGCTCTAGAAAACCATGCTGCCTGGGATCAAGAAGGGTACTAGTCAAAGAAAGCAGTTTACGTTTAACAATGCGCTCAAAAACTTTCATGACTAAACAAGTAAGGGATATTGGTCTATAGTTTTCAACCTCACTTTTCTTACCTTTCTTAAATATTGGGACAACATTTGCAAGTTTCCATTCTTGTGGAATGTAGCCGCTGTTGTAAGATCCACGAAAAATGCATGTTAGAGGGTAAGCTAAACCTACGGAACAATTTTTGAGAATTTTACCGTGTATGCCATCTGGTCCCTGGGCTTTATTTGAATTAATATTTGAAAGAAGCTTACGAACATCCCGATGATCGAAGTCAATATCAAAATCAACATCATTGACATAGGAGATGTCAGTGTCATAAAGTGAAGGATCCGAAAACTGGTTATAAAAGAAAGAATTGAAAAGTTCAGCTTGAGCTTTGGGTTTGAACCGAAGCTGTCCAGAATAACTAACACAATTAGGAATACGGCAGGAGTTAGATTTATACTTAACATGTGACCAAAACTTCTTAGTTATAAGCGCTGGATCATCACTATTGAAAAGATTGTCTCTTATTTTGGCTGATGAAAGCCTCTTAAAATCTTTACGGCTAGTAACAAACTTTAACTCATCAGAAATAGAACCAGAAATTTTAAATTTAGCTCTGAGTCTATCTTTTTTACGGCATGAGGAAAAAAGTTCACTATCGAACCACGGGGGTTGAAACTCTGATTTAATAGTTACTTTAGGAATATGTATATCAACTAAATTCATAATGCAGTCTTTAACTAACTTCCAAGACGAATCAGGATCTAGGCATTCTAGGACTTGCCAATTAATCGAGCATAATTCACGATTAATCATGTCCCAGTTTGCTTTCTTATAATTATAGATTTTACGTTTAGGAGTTTTCTTGCGGGAAAAGGAGCTTTTAATTGAAAAAGTGACAGGAAAATGATCAGATTTGCACACGGAATGAGGATCACAGACATTCAAGTTATCGATTGTGTTATCATAATTACTGAGAAGAATGTCTAATGTATTACCACTTTTATGGGTGGGTGATGTGATCAACTGGGAGAGAGAAAGATCACTGAAAGAATCTATGAAGGATTGCTCAATAGGTACGGTACTGGATGAAGATAGCCAGTCTGTATGGGGGAGATTAAAATCACCAATAACATAGATTTTAGGGGGATTCTTTTTGGAAACTAGCTTGCGAATATAACTAACTATGACATCATGATTAGGTAACCCAAGAGTTCCTACTCTATAACAAGTACAGATTACAATACTCTCTTTGTTAGGAAAAGCAATTTTAACGGCAAGCATTTCTGCACCTAGGCTAACTGGTAGTCGGGTTGTAGTGGCATCGAGATCAGACCGAACAGCCAAAAGAACACCACCTCCATTTTCCCTAAACTTTTTAGGGTTATTAGGATCTTGAGGATGAGTCTTTCTCGTGCGGTCATTGCGGAAGATTTCATATTGAGAAGAAGGAAAGATTTCGTTGCTAGAAATAGATTTTTTGAGCCAAGTCTCATTTAGGGCAATTATGTCAGGCTGCTCTATGTTAGCAAAGGATTGAAGTTCGGAAATCTTATTACCATCAAGAAGGGGATGGGAGGAGCTTAGGTTACTGAAAGGAATAAGACCTTGGACATTTTGGTAGAGTACAGATATGGAGTTGGGACCTGGATTAAGCATAGAAGGATTAACAAGAGTTATCAAAAGAAAGTTAAGAGAGAAAACCCAAAGAATGAATAAAGAGACTAGACGCCTGAGGCGGCTGGAATACTTGGCTCTATTCATCTTACCAGGGAGAAGAACATTTCTTATAAACCATGAGGAGATGATTACAAAGAAAAGTTTGATGTGGGAGCAAGCAAGAAATGGTATAAGATAACGTGGGCTGTCAAGGAGTAGAGAGGAATGAATATTAGAATCTAGGGGGAGTACAGTGTTCATGGACCTAGTCGTGGAGAGAAGAATTGGGAGAAAGTAAGTCATGATAAGAGAATAGAAGAGAAACATATGATTATGATAATTGTAGTTGATGTGTGGGGTGCATGGAGACTTAAATGTGTAAATTTTGTTAGGTATAAACGTGTTGATATGTATATGTGCATTTCTTGACTGTGTACGAGGCCTTTTGCATGCAAAAAGACCTATTCTAAGTCTAAACGATTCATTGTCTAACATATGGGAAAATGGGCAGTGACCGAATGTACCTGAAATAGGAGGCATAAAATTGAGAAAAAGATTAAATCAGAGATTTGTTTGAGTTTTAATTTTAGGCGCAACGTCTTAATCAAAATATTAAATGAAAGAAAAGATCAAAGATTTAAATTCCCAGAAGATTATTTACAACCCTGTCAAAACTGTGTTGGTTTACAACAAACTTAAGCCAAGTGGACAGTAAACCTACTCCTCTCATGTTGAGATGAAGCCAATCATGGTATAGAAGTTCATTACAGGATCTAAAGTCTCGAGTTAAAAAGTCTGAGAAACAGTCTAAGAACACGCAATTATTATTTAGGCATAAGTCTTTAAGTAGATTATTAAAATCTAGAACATTCTTTGCTATGTAGGAATATAAACACTTAATAGGAAGACAACATTGGATAATTATAATTGCAGCGGGAAATAACTGCTTAGTGGTGTCAATTAAGTCATTAAGATACTTCCTAAGGAACTGAACCCCATACTTAGAATGTTTTATGTCATTTGTACCAACACTCAATATAATCTTTTCAATATCGTCAGCTTCTGCAGCTGCATGAGTTTTATGAAAATGCTGAATATTTTCAGTGATGTCTCTAATTTTTGCACCACCTTGGGACACATTGATTACTTTTCTTCCCCGGAATCCCAACCTATTTGTCCGTACGAATTTTGTCATTGACGTACCAAACAGGACAGTGGTTTTCCTGCTCTTCGGTTTTCTTGGAGCATTTCGGTAGTAGAGGGTTGGTGTTGAGGTGGTGGTGGGCGGCATAGGAATTGTAGTGAAGACATTCTGCACCCTGACTACATTTGTATCTGTCTTCGGTATCTGGCAGCGAAAAGATAAGCTATACCGAGTCTCCTTAGCTGATCTCTCTGCACGAACCTTGTGAAGACAATATTCCTGACACCCCGGTTTCATAATATACAAACTACAGTCCTTTGGGGTGATATGGCATTTACTGTTACATCGCTTATCCCCATTTTCTGGAATTATGTCGAGGGTCCTCTCAGCTCCAAATGAAACTACATAAATACCTTGCGACTGGTCAAGAGACACCTCGTCGTCGTTGTGGTACCTAGTTGCACAAGAACCAGACTTGTACATGCTTGCTAGGCATGAGTTTAGCTTGCAGCCAAACTTGGAGTTGATATCATGCATAAGCTCTGATATCCCAGGATAATTTAAAATATCGATTGGCTCCTTAGTCGTGGTGTGTCCATTTGAGGAAGACCATACATATTCTTCTCCAGTGGAAGTGAGCCACTTTGTGGCAGTTTTCACAGCAGTTTGCTTGGCCATAAGTGTTTCAAGTTCAGACATCAACGTACCATGTTGAACACTCTTGTTTTGAACAAAATCTGAATGCAACTCCAAGAAGTCCTCGCATTTAACAGAATCCCTCTTAAGTTTCATGACATTCTCAACACTGGCCTTAAGAGCTTTCAGCTCTTTTAATGAAAACGAGTTTAAAACATTGGTAACAGAATTCAGATCCATAGTGAAGGAAAGAGGGAGGAGAAGATGGCGGTGAGGGAGGAGAAAATGGCGAAGTCAATACTGTAGCCCAGGAAGTAGATGCGTTGCTTAGGATACAAACGGTCACGTCATAGTCTCTTCTATCGCTTTGACATTGGGACCAAAAATTATTTGTTATATAGTAGTGTTGAAAGTATTAAAACTGAAGTTAGATATACTACTGTATATTCAACTTCTCTCACGTGGCCATCCTCATTTCACATAAAGATATAATGATTATACTGATAGTGGCTTTTACAAAGATATAATGATTATACTGATAGTGGCTTTTATAAAGATATACTGATAGTGGCTTTTATAAAGATGTACTGATTATACTGATAGTGGCTTTTATAAAGATATAATGATTATACTGATAGTGGCTTTTATAAAGATATAATGATTATACTGATAGTGGCTTTTATAAAGATATACTGATAGTGGCTTTTATAAAGATATACTGATTATACTGATAGTGGCTTTTATAAAGATATAATGAATATTCTGATAGTGGCTTTTATAAAGATATAATGATTATACTGATAGTGGCTTTTATAAAGATATAATGATTATACTGACAGTGGCTTTTGCCACAATATTTCCGCGCATTTGAGACGGGCAGGGCCCACAGTATAGAGTTAATATAAGCGGCAATATCATATTCGACGCAGAATATTTATTCGATCAATCAATTGATTAAACGAAGTATACTCATTTCATGACCGTAAAAATATAGATTTGAAAAAATAACAGAAATGATATCACTAAATATTGTAGTTTGTACTTACCCGCCAGTGATACAGAAGTAAGTCTCGTGAGGGGAGATGTGATGGATGTGGTGGTGGGGGCGCGGCATTATGATGTGGGCATCCTGCAGCACTTTCACCCACTTCGGCACTCCACTTATCATGTGACTCCACTGAAATACACAGTTTATAGCACTCTGAAGATACAGCCAGAATACAGGTTTCATTTTGCGGTGCGTCAGAGAAGTTTCACTTATTTTACCAAATTTCTGGTTGGGTTAACTGATAAGTGATAGGAAAATTAGTCTCTGACGTATATTCCATATCTCTAGAATCACAAGACAACATATCGACACAACCCAGTGTCACTTCGGCTCTAGATATCAAATCACGGGGAATTACCGGCACTCGAACTTCCACCAATTCAGGCATCAGACGATATTGCGCGGCTTATGCACGTTATAATTAGCGATGTCGATGAAAATTTCCACAACATTCATGTCAACGCGCGCAACGTCATAAGCATGAAATATCTTCGACATCGATCCAAGGCCATACTAATTACTCAGTCAACCGATGTCAATTGGGCAATTATCTACCAACCCCTTATTATAGACAGTAACTTGTAGTACACCAAAAGACAATTGTAACTAGGTATAACAACTTAAATCTTACCAACATTGAACATTGTTCTGTCTAAAAATAGAATGATGCATGAAAATACCTCTCTGATTTAACTGTGTGTTATCTGGGGGACAGCTATATATGTTATAGTATATATACTATAATATATAGTGATGCCCATAGCTATTTACTCCCACAATCCTGCCACCCTACACACATAGCAGAGAATATTCCATATGGAGTAGCACATCGAGTGTTCAAAAACTGTTCAGAGGAAGAAGAGTATTTGAAATGTAAAATTGAATTCAGTGAATATCTAGAAGATAGGAATTACAATAAAGATCTTATCCATAAATCCTTTGAGAAAGTTGAGTTACTTAAACGGGATGATCTGATTTCTAAAAACCTTACAAGCTCTAATAGTAAGAAGAGTGAAAGATGTTTTCCTTTAGTTTGTGATTTTGACCCTAACTTACCTCCAATTGGTAAAATAGTTAACAAGAATAAATTTATCCTTGGCCTATCCTTGACCCCCTTTTAAAGTCTGTGATCCAGCCTAGTAAAGTATTTGTTTCATATCGTGGTAATAAAACTATCAAAGAAACTTTAGTTCCGAGTAAACTTTCAGAAGATCGTAAGTATCATGAAGATAGTAATGTTATAGCTTTAAACTCTAACACTGAAAATGTGGCTCTGCCTACTAGTATAGAAGAGGGGGGATGTTATCATTGTAACTCCAGATGTAAAGCCTGTAGAATGTATATTTGTGAATCAAAAACAGCTCAGAGCTACCACTCGGGGTACACTGTTAACATCATTGGACAACTAGACTGCAACACAGTAGGGGTGTGCTATCTAGTAAGGGATAAAGTCTGCAGACGTGCTTCAGTAGGAAGCACAGTTAACAATTTTAACGATAACCAGTTTCATAATCTTACCAAAGAGCCCTTAAAAACGTTTGACAATGAGTTATCCGATCAGATAGAGGTTATTATTTTTGAAAAGCTAGATTTTATAAAATGTTTAACCTTAGAAGATAGAAGTAGGGTTGCTAAAGAAAGAGAATCATTTTGGCAAAACCAGCTTATGACCCTCAGTGATTTTGGAGGACTTAATAAACGTAGTGCTCTTAATGAAATAAAAAATTGACCTTTATATGATATGCTTTAATATTTAATCTTTCCACAGACACTTGCATTTTGATGTTTACTTTCACCTCTGCATCTTTTGTTTATATCTTATGATTGAATGAGACTTACTCACAAATTTCCCATCTCAGTATTGATCTATTTTTGTCATGTTTTTAATTTACTTCATAGAACAGTTATTTTAATAAACTTGCTTTCAGAATGAGACATGTAAAGATTACACAATCGATAGCTTAATGTGAATTTCGTGTTTTACTGTTTCACTGAATGTCTCAAATATATATATATATATTCGATATTACAAAAGTTACACACTCCATCAACCAGGCCGATTAAAACGCGTAACCAGGACGCATGGCTGGTTATTCCTAAAATACCGATGAAGTGCTACTACAGTACTACAGTGGGGTGCTTATCGCTTCTGAGGAATTGAAAAGGAAACACGTGCAATAATAACGGGGGCATCCCCCCTGATAATAACGGGGGCACCCCCTGATAATAACGGGGGCATCCCCCTGATAATAACGGGGGCATCCCCCTGATAATAACGGGGGCATCCCCCTGATAATAACCCGCTGTCTGCGCTACCAATAATCTCGATATTACAACATAGCGTTCCTGGCTTACTTAATTTAATCGATAAAATTAGTTGAGCAGATAATTACTTCTCATTAGTACTGTGCTTACTGCTTGATAGAATTTAATGAGTAAATGGACAATAATCTACGATACATTCAAAAGCAGGAAGCTATGTAAGCAGAGTTAGCTGAAGCCTCAACTCAGTGTATAATGAATCAGTTCAGCTACGTGTACGGTACTGTCAAGTAATGTAGGCTATCTCTATCAAGATCTTCTTTTCAAGATTAGACACACAGGTGAACAGAAACACTGTAGAGTGTAGTTGCTCAAGTTAAATGAATAACAGTTTAGGTATTACACGAGTTACCCAGACTCACCCCCACCCTGACTCACCCCCACCCTGACTCACCTCCCACCCTGACTCACTCCCACCCTGACTCACCTCCCAACCTGACTCACCTCCACCCTGACTCACCCCCACCCTGACTCACCTCCCACCCTGACTCACTCCCACCCTGACTCACTCCCACCCTGACTCACCTCCCACCCTGACTCACCTCCCACCCTGACTCACCCCCACCCTGACTCACTCCCACCCTGACTAACCCCCACCCTGACTCACCTCCACCCTGACTCACCACCACCCTGACTCACCTCCCACCCTGACTCACCTCCCACCCTGACTCACCTCCCACCCTGACTCGCCTCCCACCCTGACTCGCCTCCACCCTGACTCACCACAACCCTGACTCACCCCCACCCTGACTCACCTCCACCCTGACTCACCTCCCACCCTGACTCACCTCCCACCCTGACTCACCTCCCACCCTGACTCACCTCCCACCCTGACTCACCCCCACCCTGACTCACCCCCACCCTGACTCACCTCCCACCCTGACTCACCTCCCACCCTGACTCACCTCCCACCCTGACTCACCCCCACCCTGACTCACCCCCACCCTGACTCACCTACACCCTGACTCACCTCCCACCCTGACTCACCTCCCACCCTGACTCACCCCCCACCCTGACTCACCTCCAACCCTGACTCACCTACACCCTGACTCACCTCCCACCCTGACTCACCTCTCACCCTGACTCACCTCCCGGCTCCCACCCTGACTCACCCCCCACCCTGACTCACTTCCCACCCTGACTCACCTCCCACCCTGACTCACCACCCACCCTGACTCACCTCCCACCCTGACTCACCCCCACCCTGACTCACCTCCCACCCTGACTCACCTCCCACCCTGACTCACCCCCACCCTGACTCACTCCCACCCTGACTAACCCCCACCCTGACTCACCTCCACCCTGACTCACCCCCACCCTGACTCACCTCCCACCCTGACTCACCTCCCACCCTGACTCACCTCCCACCCTGACTCGCCTCCCACCCTGACTCGCCTCCACCCTGACTCACCTCCCACCCTGACTCACCTCCACCCTGACTCACCTCCAACCCTGACTCACCTCCACCCTAACTCACCCCCACCCTGACTCACCTCCACCCTGACTCACCCCCACCCTGACTCACCTCCCACCCTGACTCACCTCCACCCTGACTCACCTCCCACCCTGACTCGCCTCCCACCCTGACTCACCTCCCACCCTGACTCACCCCCACCCTGACTCACCTTCACCCTGACTCACCTCCCACCCTGACTCACCTTCACCCTGACTCACCTCCCACCCTGACTCACCTCCACCCTGACTCACCCCCACCCTGACTCACCTCCCACCCTGACTCACCTCCACCCTGACTCACCTCCCACCCTGACTCGCCTCCCACCCTGACTCACCTCCCACCCTGACTCACCCCCACCCTGACTCACCTTCACCCTGACTCACCTCCCACCCTGACTCACCTTCACCCTGACTCACCTCCCACCCTGACTCACCTCTCACCCTGACTCACCTCCCACCCTGACTCGCCTCCCACCCTGACTCACCTCCCACCCTGACTCACCCCCACCCTGACTCACCTTCACCCTGACTCACCTCCCACCCTGACTCACCTTCACCCTGACTCACCTCCCACCCTGACTCACCTCTCACCCTGACTCGTCTCCCGGCTCCCACCCTGACTCACCTCCCACCCTGACTCAACCCCACCCTGACTCACCTCCCACCCTAACTCACCCCCACCATGACTCACCTCCCACCCTGACTCACCCCCACCCTGACTCACCTCCCACCCTGACTCACCCCCACCCTGACTCACCCCCACCCTGACTCACCTCCCACCCTGACTCACCTCCCACCCTGACTCACCTCCCACCCTGACTCACCTCCCACCCTGACTCACCCCACCCTGACTCACTTCCCACCCTGACTCACCTCCCACCCTGACTCACCACCCACCCTGACTCACTCCCACCCTGACTCACATCCCACCCTGACTCACCACCCACCCTGACTCACCTCCCACCCTGACTCACCCCCACCCTGACTCACCTCCCACCCTGACTCACCTCCCACCCTGACTCACCCCCACCCTGACTCACTCCCACCCTGACTAACCCCCACCCTGACTCACCTCCACCCTGACTCACCACCACCCTGACTCACCTCCCACCCTGACTCACCTCCCACCCTGACTCACCTCCCACCCTGACTCGCCTCCCACCCTGACTCGCCTCCACCCTGACTCACCACAACCCTGACTCACCCCCACCCTGACTCACCTCCACCCTGACTCACCTCCCACCCTGACTCACCTCTCACCCTGACTCACCTCCCGGCTCCCACCCTGACTCACCCCCCACCCTGACTCACTTCCCACCCTGACTCACCTCCCACCCTGACTCACCACCCAC